GGCCTCAAATGAGCAGGAGACTTGCATCAACCCTCAAACCAACCTGGAAACCAGCTGGCTCCAGCGCTCCCAGCTGGCCTTTCTGCAGCTCTGCCCACCCACCTTGGGTGCAGGGTCCTACCCTCCACCGCCAGGCATCTAGGCCCTCAGGCAGGCTGACTTCGCTGGGTGGAGCTTAGCTCTCCTGGCGCAGTGACCCCTAGGTCCCGCTCAGCGGCTGGGTCTGACTCAGGCAGCAGGCGGCCTGGTCGGGGAGTCCCACACTGGTGCTTCCCTGCTCTGGGCCCCTCAGCCCCTTGGAGACAGCTCTGGGCTCTCTTTGAAGGACGTCCAGGCAGCCCCAAGGCCTGCCCAGCCCTTCTCCCAGACGGCTTGGGGCTATGGGTCCCGCCCAACCACTTAACCACCTGAAGGCTAACAGGAGTGGGAGGCCATTGGGAAACTCCTGGGACACAGGGCCAAATTCGCTGCTCCTCTGCTGCAGCCCTCCCCTCCCTCCCCTCTTCCCCTCCCTCCCCTCTTCTCCTCTCTCCCTCCCCTGCTATGTTTCACACCTGCAGGGGTTGGGGTTGGGGTAAAGCCCCAGCCCGGACCTGGTCAGAGAATGAGGCAGAATTCACAGGGCTGTGCTAGTGCCCAGGCTTGACCTCCCTTACCCAGCTGATACTGTGCAGAGCCCAGGACCACTTATCTCCTGCCTGGGGACACTGGGGAGCACTGGGGGAGTCTGGACAAAACCACCCGACCCCTGTCTAGGCCCCAGAGCTTCTGCACTGAAGGGCGGCTGGATGGGATGGCAGGTCCTGCAGATGGGGGGGCAGCTTGGGGGAGGAGCAGAGGCAGCATCAACCTGGCACCAGGATGTGTCTGGGACGCTTGGTCCACCTGTCCTGCAGGCCACCCCACCTCGTCTCACCTGTATTTACCTGTTGCTTTGAAAAGTGACACTACTGTCTGCTTAGCAGGACAGTGGAGAGACAGCCCCATTTCACCTGCTGCACTGGGATTTGTTGGGGTGTAAGGGAGACGGAGGCGTGCCCTGACTGGGGTACTTGGTGGGGAAGCAGGTTGGGGACTCTCCAGAGCTGGGCTCCGGCCACAGGGAAGCTGTCAAAGCGGGCAAGGGGCCCTGGCCTTTGCCGGGAGCGGGGCAGGAGGGAGGGGCGTGAACAGGAAGATCTGACCCAGGGCAAGCTGGCAATTTCGGAGCTGGTAATTAGTAACTACTACCATGGGTCTCCTGGTTGCTAATTATTCACAGGGCTGTGATGGCTCTGCCTGTCCTCTGGCTGGGAAACTGAGGCTTCCTGGTGCCGTCGGACTCCTAGGCCTGGAGCATCCTCACAGCTGCAGGGGCAGGGAATTCACAGGGCCGGCATCCGGGGTCCTCCTGCTCTGGTCACCAAGAACAGGATGTGACCGAGTGAAGACCCAGGACCAGGCTTCATCCTGATGCCTGAACCCAATGGGCCTTAGTCAAAGCCCACTGGTAGTTCCCGCGGGCCGTGTGCCAATGCTGCGGGGCTCGGGCCCTGGCCGCTCTGCCAGTGGCCTCCTAGAGGTCCCCGGAGGGCCACCTGGGGTCACTCGGGTCCCACCCAGCCCAAGGCGGCCTGAAGAGTCGTCGTGGGAACAGCAGGTCGGGGAGGAGGACACTGCGCTGGCGTTTTGGCCCAGAGCAGCTCGGCCAGGTCCGGGCCACTGAAGGCAGCGGGCCAGTGTGCGCTCCCATGAGGGGGTCCGCTCTCTGCTCTTGGCTCGCTGAGGATGGAGCCGCGCAGGGCCAAGGCAAGAGGGGCGCCCTGGGCTGGGCGGCTCACAAGCCTCCCAGAAGTCCAC